GTTGTAAATTTTTGACTCGGTTGAACCGTTTTGACACGGGTGACACGGTTTACTATAACCCGGTTCTAAACTCTACTAAGCAATCAATTGAACGACACCACCAACTTTCTTTATTTTTTCTTCCGCCCTTCTAGAAATGTATCGTGTCTTAACAATCACAGGTTGCTCTGGAAGACGACCTTTTGCCAAAACTTTACCATAGCCCTTAAAAATGGACATCGTAAGTAAGAAAATCATAATTCAGTAAATTAAATAAATAAATAAAATAAAATAAAAAAAACATACACATATATATATATATATATATATATTAAATATACAATGGTAATACTTACAGCATTTAGAATATTAATAACTGGTGCAGCTTTGGTTTCTTTCTCATATTTTTTTCTCGTTTCTTCAGAAACCAAAGTCCACAACTTATCCAGATTGATAACTGGGCGATGATATTTATTACGTGTCAGATGAAAATGTCTCATTCCAACTTTACCAAAATAACCGGGATGGTATTTATCCATGTTAGTACGGTGATGATGCAGACCACCTGCAAGACCTCGACCTCCCGGATGCTTTCTATGTTTACCTTTTTGTTGGATCAGATAAGATCATTATTCATTATTGTTGATGATGTATGTTATCGAATAGGATAGATCACGGATTAAGCAATTTACCGATACGGCCATGACCAGCGGAAACATGCCCGCGCTTCTTTCTGTTCTTTTTAAGTCTTGAAGGCTATTAATGAAAAATTAATATCGATTGTATCAATTACTAGTCAATTTCATCATTTTTTATTATGAAATTAACCATGTGTTTAAATAATTTACTAAAATCGTATCAAGATAAAAATAAAAATAAAAATCAAAAGTAATGCTGTTGAAAGACATTCAATTCATTTATTTTTTTAAGAAATATCACATTTTGAATGGCACGAATAAAACTTACCATCGCTTATTTCTGCAAACGGGAATGAAAATGTAAGGGAGGGAACGAATAAATTTTGTTAAGAAAAGAATTTATAAAAAAAAAATTTTTAAAATATGTGTGCGTGATAATCACGTTACTTCGAG